GGTCCTTTCCACCCCAACCCATTCCATGATTTTATGAAGGGTTAGGATTTTTCCCATCCTTTCCCTGCCATTCCCACCAGTGACTCAGGTTTTCCTGAATGCTCTCCCATGACCTCAGCGGCTTGGCCCTGGATCCCAGCAGCCTCTTTATTTTGGAGCCAAGAGGACTTGATGTGGGAGCCAGGGATGCTGCCACCTCTCCAGGATGGGCTCTGACAGTGCTGGTGCTGGAGAAACCCTGGATGTGGTGGTCCCAGCTCTGCATCTGGATGCAAAAGCTCCAACCCCATCATCTCCAGGTGAGAGCTTGGAGAAGCTCAGCCTTAAAAGTCCTCTGCTTTCAGGCAGGTCCTGCCCTTGCACTCAGCATTAAGGTTCTCTGGGTCAGTGCGTGGTGGAGGTTTAGCAGCTCTTCACTCATCCCTTTCCTCCATAAGCCACAGGCATGGTTGGTGCTGGATCTGCTGCCTCCTCCAAGCCTCATTCCTGTGGGCCTCCTGCTTCTTTCCACCCCACCAATGAGCCCCAGGCAATATCGTGGGCATCCCGTGCCCCAGGATGATGATGATGGTGGTGGAGCAGGGACATGGGGCAGGTCTTTGGCTTTGCCTGGGGCTGGGTCACAGCAGGTAACCAGATGGATTCATGGATTCACCCAGCTGCACCTCAGCTTCCCAAGCTCCCAGCCTGGAAGAACAAGTGAGAACCGTCTTTCCACGTGGCTGGACCAGGATGGGGAGATCCAGCACGAGGAGCAAGACTCCTCCTTGTCCTGCCTTGAGCTCAGGCTTGACCAATGGATCCTCTGGGCCAGGTAGGTCCAATCCAGACACAGCCAAAGGCTTTTCACCTCTTGAGGAAAGACATGCCCAGCTCTGATGGAGCTCAGCAGATCTTCAAGACATTTTCCTGTCTGGCATCTCACGAGCAGACTTGAAAGTGATTTATAGGATCCATCCCAATGGTTGAACCAACACTGGCATGAAGCAAAGCTCCTCCAAGCCCCAGTGCCATTCCAAAGGCAGAGAAGCGTGCCAATGCCACGGAGGCCTCATCCCTAGAACCAGGAGAACCGGTCTTCTCCACAGGGTGGACCAAGACAACCCTTATCCAGCCACTTGTGCTGGTATCCATCTTCCTGCTTGGCTGCAGGAATGATTCTCCATCAAACAGCTTCCTACGCGATTAAACCCTCAAGCAGGGCTTGGGAATCCCATAATCCAGGCTGGGCTGAGGTGGGAATGCCGGACACAGGAGCAGAGCGGGGTTACGTGCTGGGAATACCCCCCAAAACCCCATTTGGTTGCAGATGGGGTTGAAGGAGCCTCAGGTGGACACTGACCTTGGGGCTTTCCTCTCTTGCAGATGAGCCTGATCCTGCCCTGTCCGGTGCCGTCCCAGCTGCTGCTCACAGGACGGAACTCGGGTAAGTTCCCAAGGGATGTCTCCATGGATCCTTCTCCCCCTGTGCTTCAGTTCCACAAAGCCCTCAAGTAGCTACCTGTCCCCCTCAAGAGGGTTGTCCCACCATGGAGGACGTCAGCAGGTCCCTCTAGAGCGAGGCAGCTCCATCCCTGTGCTGCAGAGCAGTGTGGGCTGCTCCGGTGCATCCCATTTATCCCGCTTCCCAACCAACCTCCCTGCTCTGCCTGACCTAAATCATACCCTGGGGCCATGCCTGTTCCCCTTGGAGCCATCCCCATTTCCCTTGGAGCCATCCCAGTTCCCCTCAGAGCATCCCAATTCTCTTAGGAGCCATCCCAGTTCCCCTCAGAGCATCCCAATTCTCTTTGGAGCATCCCAGTTCCCCTTGGAGCCATCCCAGTTTCCCTCAGAGCATCCCAATTCTCTTTGGAGCCATCCCAGTTCCCCTCAGAGCATCCCAGTTCCCCTCAGAGCATCCCAATTCACTTTGGAGCCATCCCAATTCCCTTTGGCACCACTGGGCCTGTCCCTGCTGCGAGGAAGGGTGATGCTGGGAGGTGGGTACTTGATCTGGGTGCATTGGGTGCCCCAAAGGGGTATCCCAAAGCGCTCGGAGCACCAATTTGGGATTGGGGCACCAGCCCAAGGCTTATTTTAGTGCCTGTTGTTCCCGGCTCCTTCCTGGGCCAGAGGTTCCTTAAGGAGTTGTCTTAATCAGGTTTTAATCGTGTTTTTATCCCGGTTTTATCCTGTTTTAGTCACATTTTAGTCCTGGTTTAATCACATTTTAATCATATTTTGGGATGGTTTAGTCACAGTTTAGGATGTTCGAGTCTCCTTTTACATTTTAGTCCCATTCTAATCACATTTTAGTCACGTTTTGGGATGGTTTAGTCACGGCTTAATAATGTTTTAGGACATTTTAATCACATTTTAGTCCCATTTTACTCATGTTTTAGTCACATTTTGTGTTTTGGTCACATTTTACTCACGTTTTACTCGTGGTTTACATTTTAATCATGTTTTAGTGATATTTTAATCCTATTTTACTCACATTTTACTCATATTTTATGTTTTAATCACGTTTTGGTCACATTTGCCTTAGGTTTTCCTCATGTTTTGGTCACATTTTCATCATGTTTTCATCACAGTTTATGTTTTAATCACATTTTACTCACGTTTTAATCACATTTTAGTCACATTTTACATTTCAGTCACGCTTTGGTCCCATTTTCCTCACGTTTTCCTCATGTTTTAACCACATTTAGTCAGGTTTTATTCACGTTTTAATCCCATTTGTGGGGTTTCAGTGGTGTGGGAATCACATTTCCCCGCTGCCACGCCACCGACAATGGTGATCCCGGCCTCCAATCCACAGTCATTCCTCTGGAATTAAAACACGGAAAGGTTTGGAGCTGGGAATGGTGAATGAAGTGGGGTGGAGGGGTCAGTTCTTCCCTAAAGTTGTCTTTTCCCAGGAAGAAGCTGGGAATAAACAAGTTGGAAGAGAAGGAGAACTTGATCCTTGCGGATCTGGCGGTGCTGCTGCCTCCATCCAACAAAGGCGCTTTGTTCTCCTGCAGCACAGCTTGAGACAGTGTTTTGCTGGCTCTGGAGCACGAGCCATTGGGCTCCTCGGGGTGGTGGGCTCCATGATCCAGCAGGTTTCTTCCCTAGGGATGGGTTAACAGAACTGGGATGTGGTGGTTTGCATCCCGCTTGTGGCCACGGGGACTGTGTAGAGGGAAGAGCTGGGCATGAAGCTGGCTGTGGAGGACAGAAGGGTCACACCATTAGGGTCAGGACACAGAGGACCCCTGAGTGCTTGAGCTCCATGAAGCCATCAGGGACATTGGGGCTCCTGGATCTCTTGGATCCCAGTTCTGAAGCCTAAATATGGGGATCCGGTGCCATTCCAGGCTCTCTGCTTCCCCACCACCCCAGCAGAAGGGCTTGAGGCTCTTCAGATCCTGTCTCCTGCTGCTGATCCATGCCAGATGTCTCCAATCCCTTGAGCCATCTGTGTTGCACCCTCATGGTCCTCACTATGTCCCATCCTACATGAAAAAGCCTCCAAACCCAGAAGGGGGGAAGGGATGGGCTTGGGTTTGTCCCGAGTCTTTATTTGGGACAATATGGGAGTCACCATGAAATCCCATCCCGTGTCACACTGTAATACCAATGGGAATGTCTCTGTTGTCTTCTTCACCCCTTATTAAGTCTCCAAACTCATTTGCAGCTCCACAAACGAAGAGCATTTGGAGTTCAAGAAGGCTTTGTACAGAACGGATGCCAGGAGCTCCTTAGACCTGCGGACCATGGCCTGGGACACCTCCACCCTGGAGAGCAGAGCAGGCGATGGCAGAGAAGAAAGCACTTTAAAGAGACTCTCTGGCTTGAAGGACACACGATGTGTGAAGGAGTCACCATTTGCCATGGAGACCCAGCTTGTAAATACAGTGCAGGTGGACCCTGAGCAACTGGAGAGTGACTCTGAGGACCTGGGTGGTGGCAAGGGAGCAGTAGAGACACCCAGCCCTTGTGCTGGGGCAGTGGTTGGCGGCGGTGAGGAGAAGTACCTGAAAACGGAACCAAAGCAACTTGAAGGCCTCAGCAAAGAGCACTTAGAGAAGAGCAAGAGGGGAATGCAGAGGGTCGACTGGATCTCCAGACCCACCAGAAGCCCAAGTCCTCACTATAAAGATCTGGGCAAGGTGACAGATGTAGCAACCAACCTGCCCTTCCGGGGCCAGGCCGTGCGTGAAGTGCCTCCTCCGCTGTTCAGGAAAACACTGAACCCTGTCCTCAGCAAGGCCAAATCCCTGGAGAGCTCCTTATCCCATGGGAAGGGGCTGATGGTTGACTCGGACTTGGGGGAGATCAACCCACTCAACGCGGCCGAGTGGACAATCCCGAAGCCGAGTCTTGAGCTCAGCGCGGACCTGGCCGTGGGCAAACAGACCTGGACAGTGAATGCTGAAGACTCGGTGGAGAGGATCCCGTTGATGTCCCTGGATCCTGCTCCCTGCAGCTCCTACGACATCGAGATGAGGCCCTACGTGTGCAGTGTGTTAGTGGAGGAGCAGGGGAAGGAGGAGCTGGGTCCGGAGGAGGACCCCACCGTGTACACCTGCATCGAGTGCAGCATTTACTTCAAGAAGAAGGAACACTTGATGGATCACATGCTTCAGCATAATCGTGGACCAGGGAGGGACCAAGACAGAGATGCTTTGGGAGGACAGTGTCAGTTCTGCTGCAACGAGTGTGGATGGGCCTTTGGAGACCCCACATCTTTGGAGCAGCACAAGAGGCTCCACCAAGAGTCCAGGGAGAAGATCATTGAGGAGATCCAGAAGCTGAACGAGTTCCCAGACGAAGGCCGGGATGCGCGGCTGCAGTGCCCCAAGTGTGTCTTTGGCACCAACTCCTCCAAGATCTTTGTCCAGCACGCCAAGATGCATGTTAAGGAGAGGAAAGACCAAGGGGCCAAGACCCTGAACCTCTTTGGAAGCACAACCAGTGGAGAAATCCGGGACAGCTCCATGCAGGGCATCTACAAACACTTCAAACCAAATGAACACATGGCCCTGCAGATGCAGGTTCCACCCCAAAGCAGCAGCAAAGGGCTCAGCACCTGCGTGCTCTGCAGCTTCCCGGCTCCCAACGACAACATCCTCAAGGAGCACATGAAATACGCCCATTCCCACCTCTCATGGGACACGGAGGTGTATGAGGATGATCCCAATCAACCAGGAACCAGCAGAGATGCCTACAGCCCGGCCCGCCCAGCCCGCTTTGCCGACACAGATTACTTTGGCAAAGCAGAGCAGCTTTTCCCACCGCCTTCCCAGGAAAGCACATCCCATTATGAAGCTGTTCCCACTTTTGCTCTAACTCATTCCAGGCACAAGAGCAACGGAGCTGGCAAGAAGGACTACCAGGCATCAGGGTTTCACGCCAGGAAAGCAGCTCCCTATGGTGCCCCACACAAAACCTTGGCATTATCCGGTTTTCCCTCTGCTAAAGCTTATTCCCAGTTTGCTCTGCAGCAGCTGAAAAAGAAAGGAGTAACTCAGCCCCTTGAAGGAGAAGCTGATGCTCTCAGGAGTCACCCCATGGGGCTGGAAGAGTTCAGGCACAAGCGGCTGTTGGGCAACGATGCTGCGAGCATGGAAGAGGAGATCTCCATAAGCACAGAGATGGAGCTGGGTGAGAACAGAGGCGTCAAACCCATCACCGTCCCTCAAGCTGCCTTGGACCTCAAGAGGACATTCAGAGACACCTTGAAGGCCACGGACTCTTTGATAGCTTCAGAGGAGCAGCAGCAGCAGTTGCGGATGATGGTCCCCATTGTCCTCCTGGAGGAGGTGAACCTGCATCCCAAAGCGACAAAGAGGCCCCGGGGAAAGCCCTTCAAGAAGAAAGCGCTGCTCCCATCCCGGGACTTCATGATGGAAGAGCCCATTCCCTTGGATATGCTCCTGTTGGACACTCCTCTGGAGCTTGACGACCTCTTGGACTCCGACTCACCCATGCTGAAGAACGAGGAGAGGAAGTGTCCCTATTGCCCCGACCGGTTCCACAACGGCATCGGGCTGGCGAACCACGTGCGGGGCCACCTCAACAGGGTGGGGGTGAGCTACAACGTCCGTCACTTCATCTCAGCAGAAGAAGTCAAAGCTATTGAGCAAAAGTTTTCCTTCCAAAAGAAGAAGAAAAAAGGTAGTATGTATTCAATTCACCGTGCCCCTCTTTTCTTGCCCTAACCACTTGGCTTCTCTTCTCCCACCACCACTTGGGTACGTATGGGGCTGTGCTCAACCACGACCACGGTGGCCACGGCTCCACGTTGTCCTGGGTGCGAGAACCACCAGCAGAACGGGCTCGTCCCGGTGTCGTTGACTCTGTCCCCTTTTTCCCCACAGTTGCCAACTTCGACCCCAGCACCTTCAGCCTGATGCGCTGCGAGTTCTGCGGCGCCGGCTTCGACACGCGCGCCGGTCTCTCCAGCCACGCCAGAGCCCATCTGAGGGACTTTGGGATCACCAACTGGGAACTCACCATCTCGCCCATTAACATCCTCAAGGAGCTGTTGGCCAACTCCTCGGAGCATCCGATGCTGCAGGCAGCGATGGGAGCGGAGCCTTCATCCCCAGGCAGAGAGAGGGAAGCTCATGGCTTCGTGCCTCGCAAGAGCATGACCCCCATGTCCGAGTGCAGCATTCCACGTTCTCCTCTGTCCCCGTTCCCCACATCCTGGGGAGATGAGTCCCTGCAGTCCTACAGAGATGGTGAGTGTCTCCCCATGCAAGCCCCAAACCCTTCTGATGACCCCAAACCGTGTTGGAGGGTGGGTATCTACAGGGAAGGGTTGAACTGGTGTAAGGTGGTGTTACCGATGCTGTGTCCTGTCTGCTGCTGGTTTGGGGGCAGATGGATGGAGGTGCCAGCAGATGAGAGGGCCAGGCAGTGCTGGCTCATGGAGAGCTCGCACTCCACCACAGGGAGTTGTGCTTTGGATGTTCAGGCTTTGTCCTTTGAAAAGGTTGTGTTTAGGAATGAGGTTTCCAGTTGGGAAACCCCTAAAGCTTCTCCAGTTCCGGGCTGGAGGGAAGGAGAAGAGTGTGGTCGCTGGTGCCAGTCCAGCCTGGTGGCCCTCATCCATGCAGGATGCAGCCTCTGGTCTGGGGATCTGTGTTCACCCAATCAGCTCCTCGTTTTCCATGGGTGTTCCTGTGGGGGGAAAGGACCATAAAGGCTCCTTCCGACGTGGATTTGGATCTGAGCTGGTCCCCCTCCAGTAGTGAAGCTCCAAACCATTCAAACAGGTTTATCTATCCCAGAGCTGAGCCTGTCCCAAACAGCTTCCAGGCTCCAAAACCTGAGTGGGCACCAGAACCTTCCGAAGCCTAAAACCTTGTGTTGAGGATTCCAACCACCTCGTGATACTTGGTGCTTCTCCCAGCCTCTTGAAGTCTTTAAAGGACCTTCTCATTAGGTTCTACCCAGCCTAATACTATGGGAGAGACTCCCCTGCAGCGAGAAGCCGTGTGTCTGTAATTGAAATTCCAAGGAGCCTGTAATCCCGGCTCTCCAGACTGCTCCATGTGACTTTGGCTGCTCTTTGGGATGAGTCTGGAGCATAATGAACACAAATGAAACCACAAACAC